GTTCAGAAGTTAAAATATTACGTCAAAGTGTGCGCAAATGAATGTAGGTGACCCACATTCTCAGGGTGTAAACAACCACGGAACCGAGTTATCATCGGTACGCATAAGCTGGATTGAGAGCCTGTGAAAACAAACTTTGAGTTGGTGCAAAGGAGTGTTGGGTAATGGTAGTGAAAATCACAGCCATGGGATCCTTGAGCTATACAAAGGTAGCCTAGGATAGGGCATTCAGGATCCTTCTGCGCCTTCATATTTATGGATCAATAATATAGCAACTTAATGAATTGATTATTGAGGGGAGAAATGTTGGTAAGGCACATGGATTGCCACGTTGTGGCAATGTCATGGGGAGAACTAGGTTTAGCTCACTGGGGTTTGAGACGATAAATGCAAAATTTTCGGTGAGGGTAGCTCGTTTGGGTCACTGCTGCTCGAGATGCTATACACAGCCGTGTCACTTGGGAGGTCTTAGGTGGAGTCCGTGCAGTTTGCGTTGACATGTGGTAGTAGCGTTATTAAAGAGAGCTCAGCTGTGCCTTGCACTGTTTCAGTCGCTGCATGGTGAAAACATTACTGGGGTGAGCTCAGGCGAACTCTGCGCAGGTCTCGCAAAGCTATGCGAGCACTTTAAGTTTTAGCGGTGAAGGCACCTCTGTGGAATGTCTTGAAGTAAAGGAACACCCACGCAGTCTGTTATTTCCGCCCCCTTCCATGCAAAGTTCTTCGGTTTCGTCCATTATTTCCCTCCATTGCCACTTTACTAAGTATATTGACTGCAGAGATTATGTGAACCTGTCAGTACCTTGTACCAAGTAATTCAAGTTGTGTCGAGTTGTGATTAGTACCGTTATCCGGTTATGGCTTTTTCCGTTGCTTTAATGCGGTTGGAAACGCGTCACTCGAACCTTACAACCGGGTTTTGTCGCTTACATTCTTGACAATAACTAGCTATCTCCTCTTTCGTTTAGTCTTTCCCAGACTGTTTTATGAACACACGCTCTCACAATATAGATGAAACCGAGTCCACCGAACAGCGCTACGCTCCCTCTCGTTTACCCTGGATTCATAGGTTCCACAAGTCATGCAAGCTTATCTAAACAAGCAGCATTCCGTAGGAAATGCACGTATGTTTAGACTCTTTTAACTTATATTCCATTCTCCGAGTCTATAAAGAAATCTTGTCATTTTCTCTTCTCTCTTGGATTTAGGTACTTTGTTATTCAGCCTTCATATTGCTCGTGCGCGGAACAGTCCACAAACTGCGGCGTTCGTTCCGAATAGGCCACTTCCATGATTAGGCTGGCATGACGTCGAACACATTACGCAGTGTTTCATCGTGTTCGTGTACGTCAAATATAACAAGATCAACGTGGGGAAACTTTATTGCGCTATGGTGTGCGGGCGACCTCCTTCAGTTTGACGATTACCGAGCAGAACGGGTGGTTGTGAACAAATCTTCTGAAGCGGTTCCATCAATTGGTGCCAAAAAATAAAGATAACTAATCTATATTATTTCGAGCAATTCTTTACATGAATTAAGGTGTACATCTAAAGAAAATGGGTTTTACTGGCCTGGTGGCTGCAAAACTACTCTGATTAGAGAGTCGCTTTGAAGCGTTCGTTGTGCGAATGAATTGCGATGTGCAATCTCAAAGCGGACTGCGATTCTTATTGAACTGAACCTTGGCTAATTCGATCATTGAGAACGTAGCTGACGAAGACGATAGATATTGGGTATTGTCGGCCCGAAAATAAAATCGCCTATGTGGTAATCCAGTGTCGTTGGTCCGTTTCGTCCTCCAGATTGCAGTGTACACAGACCACCTAGCGTTTAACTTGCGACATGGTTTGAAACTGCTATCAGTGACATGGTTACAATCCTGATCGGACTACCTGTTTAGTGTGCATCATACTGAGTTCATTATGGGGTTCAATTGACCACTATAGAGCAGCTGGGAAGCATCTTCATTAATGTTGCCTCATCTTCACATGGTAGACAGCTGTCCGTGAAACCATTTTTTCGCTGCAGCACGGGAGCCCTGATCCTGAAAGTATACCGAAAATTTAGGTTTTAATTACTTTTCCTTTACTCCCTTCTCTCGAATCACTCCAGTTCTCTATTTTTTCTATAAAACAGCAAAGCTTCAACGAAATGTGCTGCTTGTCTTCTGTTTATGCTTAGAAATATAAAAAGCATATGAGCACATATATATCAAAAGATAGGTGAATGACCAACCCGGCTCATAAAAGTCACAGTGGTTGTCTTCATTGATACAATGGTTGTATTTCCCAGTTGGCTGCAACATATGCGACATTACTTATTTATGCTATGTTGTAGTAAACCTTTTTCTGAGCACGGGTTTTTGTTATTCATTGCCTAGGGCCGCGCAAAGATAAGATGGAACACCAGTTGGAGTTTGCCACGGGAGTAGGAACAACCCGTTTTGCCTTAAAGCTGCTTGCCTAGTAAAACGGGAGGTTTTGCTCTGTGAAAACTTGGCAAAAGCTATTCTTCCCTCAACGCAGTACATGTACTTGATCCAAGCGACATTAAAAATTTGCGATAAGTGCTTCTGTGCGTGTGTAGGCCGGTCAGATCTTGAGCATTGCTTCAAGATTTTTCTGTTCAGTGTCGATTGAGCATTTAAGCAGTCTGTTGGAGCTCCCATATAGATTTGCTATCTAGCTTATATGGGGTTTCCGTCAACGAAATGAAGTCTGCTAGCATGTGAGGTCCAATCTGAGGCTTCGGAGCTGCAACAGCATACGATTATGGAACTAGACAATGCTCAGTACTGCTGCCTAGTGCTACTTTTCAAAGGAGAGTTCCATCCGCCTCACCTTCATGAACACAATACTCTACCGTAACCAACAGGTCATGTTCGCGCGTAGGGACCAGTGAGTGTATCAAATATATACATTGAACATTGAACATTGTATTTAATGGGAATAAAAGCTCAAGCTTTACATGACCCAGGGGTAAAAAGAATTCGGGTTGGGTCTAATGAAAGGCCAAGCAACCTTATAGCGGGTCCGACTCGCCTGTTAGCCGTATCTTCACCGGGCTTATGCGGCATGTAAACAGAATGCACGCCGGCTCAAAGCGTGACATCCCACCACCCCCTCCGAAACGGCTATGGAAAAGAGGTAGGTAGATGAAAAAAGAAAGAAGCTCCATCAAGTGGAAGGTGGTTATATCAGGGAATATCGCGGTGCAGCTCGGCCAGATGACAATCCAGGCGAGTTTTAAAATCCGCCACAGTGGGTGCCAAGCCTAAATCGGCAGGCAGAGCATTCCACGGTCGTCAGATTCGCAAAGCAAAGTAGTGTCGTCTGCAGTTCAGCCGACTGTGCTGAGGTGTTAGCCTCAGTGTGTGGCCACGTAGGTGGAAGCACGGTTGGTGCAGTGTGAGTAAGTGGCGACTGGGATGTCCAGGATTGGATAAGATCATAAATACAGGCATCAGGTTGCCCAGTAAACGTCGGTACTGAAGCGAGTAGAGGCCCAGGCAGTGAAGTCGTTGTGGATAATCTAGATGCTTGAGATCTCGGACCAGTTTTGTTGCTTGACGTTGTGGGGCTTCGAGTATGCGTTGGTCCTTCAAGAACCAGGGACACCAAGCCTGCATAGCAAACTCCAAGTGGGGTCGAAGAAAAGCGTTGAGGAGGAGGCGGAAATTGCTAGGGTCAATTTGACCGAAGGCTCGTTTCAGCAATTCCATCACGCGGTTAGCAGCAGCTGCTGCTTTCCGGCAAGAAGCGGATACGGAAAGAGTGGTCTGGGTAATGATACCCAAGTCTCTTTCGGCTGAAGAGATCTGGAGGATAGACGCTCCCAGGCAATATACAGGAGAAAAAGCGGAAGGGCGGGTAGAAAGGACACGACATTTCGGAGTGTTAAATGGAAGGTTGTTTTCTATGGACCACTGATGTAGATGGTCGAGGTCCATCTGAAGTGCGTGGGCATCGTCCGGAAGGTTAATTGTACTCCACAGCTTCACGCCATCCGCATATGGCAGTAGCGAAGGCACCACTTGCGGTGTGACGTCATCAATGAAGGCTGGGAAGAGATGCGGTCCTAGAACAGACCCCTGTGGAACTTCGCTTGTTGCAAGGATGCGGGAAGACAACGTTCCGTCGACGCGTACTTGGACGATACGGTTTTGAAGGTAGTTCCGGATCCAGTCCATCAAGGTCCCTGAAACACCGTAAGACAACAGTTTCTGTAGTAGAATGTTGTGGTCAACCTTATCGAAGGCTTTGGCGAAATCCAGGAATATAACGTGCGTTTCTAGGCTTGAGTCGGCAGCAGTCGTCCAGCTATCCATGGCAAGTAGCAGGTTACTCGGGCACGACCGTTGCCGCCTGAAACCGTGCTGGCAATCGGAGAGCAGTTTCTGGGCCTCCATGTAGTCTATTAAAGCTTCTGCCACGATCGATTCCATCACTTTGGAGATCGTAGGGAGGAGGGTTATTGGGCGGTAATTGGCCGGGTCTTTGCTAGTACCGCCTTTATAGATTGGTGTAATAGTTCCACATTTCCAAGCATTGGGAACTTCGCCTTGCAAGAAGAAGTGGGTGAACAGCTCAGCAGATCTTCTTGCAACCTTCTGGATACTTTTGGTATGGCTGCACATTCTACTATGAACAACCGGTTTCCTTTATCACGCTTCACTTTCCTGGTTGAGGGAGACCAAACCGGCGGTACAGTGTAATCATGCAACATGTCTAGATGTATCATTAACTGCCGCGGTTCTAACTTCTATCTGTTTGGTCCACTACAGTAACCTCGTTTTTACTTGCATCACTCGGCTTTTTTAACCTGCTTACAGTACCACGTCATATACATTCTGTGTACTCATGAATACCTGAGAAATGGAAGCTCATTCTAACGCGTTCTGTTATGCTGGCCATAAGCACAAATCGTGCGTAACTGAGACGATATGATTGTAGCTATGTGCAACCGAAGTATCGTGCGCACTTTTGCATTCATTTTGCAGCACCCAAATCTTATGGAATCACAGCCGCCGTCAATTCGTTTCGTTTGTCACAGGAAGCGCTAGAGACACCTTACATCGACCTCTACATGATACATTGGCCCGGACTACAAGGGTTTTCTCCTACAAAACTGGAGCGACAGGGGCATATGGCTGATATAAGAAAAGGCACATGGAAGGCTCTGGAAGAATTGGTGATACAGGATAAAACACTGGCTCAACAATTAGAGGATACCAACTTGTCTCCATCAACCACTGTCACCGGAAGCGGGGCCTACCGCGCTATACGTTCGCTTGGAATTTGTAACTATCTCCCGCGACATATTCATGAACTTTCTGGGTACGCTTCGATTCCTCCTGCTGTCGTACAGGTAAGCAACCACACTCTCAGGTAATTGAGCGCGTTGCAATTTACCGTCTATCGATTAGCTTAGTCTCTCATTCTGATAAGTCGGCGCGACAACATCAGCGACTCAAGCCTTGCGTCATTATTTCGTCTTCTTATTCTGAATACCCAGCAGGGGAAACCGTTTGCGTGCAAAGCATATAGCACTGCCTTCAGACTAGTATGTGGCCATGAGGCAAACAAACATTTAGCCTACATAGATTTCACTGGAATCTCATGAGCAACTTCTAACTTCCTTAAGGTCACAAGCTAACGATAAGACGACTATGATCCTACTAACCAATGTAATGTAACACTTTTATGTTACTGAACAACAGATGCCATTTGGAATTTCACACTTGCGTCATTCAGCACAGCCAGGACGTTTACGCTGGCTCATTCTTCTATCCCTCATGCACTTGATGAAATTCACCTCCCAAGCCTCTTCTCAACATCAAGTAGGCAAGTTGTCGTGTCGCAGTGCTTCAGTAGGTCATGTTCCTTAAGGCCCCGGCATGTTATTCGTCATGACGACAAGTCAGATCGCTTATAGATAAGGTTTATCCTCACAGGTTACTACTGATTTGTGCGCTTCAAATGTTGGTACTAAACGATGTTTACTAGTTGTACGCTTATGCATCTAAAAAAGAAGTAGGAGGCAATCAGCTGATCTACTTCAGGTCAAAAAGCAGGTGTCTTCATAACGCATGCTTAGTTATTTCTACACGGTTAAACCTCCCATTGATGAGAGTGAGTGGACAGGGGTTGACGTTCTGCAGTTAGTCTGATCCCAGCGGGTGCACCAAGTACCCGAGAACGGAAGCTTTGATGGATGACAAAACTGCTTGTGGCTCCTTGATTGCAACTTACAAGTTCTGGGGAGGTGGAATGAGATAATAAGCGGCCTTGCAGAATGGGAACCGAAATGGACTGAACTGCGAGTTCGCGCGAGACGATACCGCCAAGTCTATACTATTAATTTCAGTCCGCAGGCGTACCAACGAAGATCATACAGCCAGTCTAATAAGGAAAGCGTATGCTGCATTCTGTGCTTTATAAAGTTAATGCATAAGGCGAAACTGAAGCCATACTTTCGAGCACCATGACCCGTAGGGCAACTGGTTAAAGCATTCTAAATTGCGAGCATTTTAAACGATCAGATAAAAGTTACTCTAACCATAAGTTCTGATCTTCGATCGCCATTATCCCATGGATTATGAAAGTGATCACAGCAGTGAGTATACTACACATGGGTTAAGTACTAGTGTTAGATGGTTCATTGGAGCGTAATGCATCATCTTGCAATAACCGACTGCGCCATGTCCTCAAAAAGCGGAAGCCAATGCTGAGACTGAGACTGAGGCTGTATTTAAGAGCAAATAGTAAGGTTTCTGTATAAGTTTATGGAATTATGAAAAATCAAACATTTAATTTCGTATCATCAGCGGTAATGTTTGGGCAGATAATCCTTTATACTTGTCCGGTTAGGAATTCGTATTGGTGTCATTATTTCCGGGTATAGGATGTACTTCTTTTGCACTGTATGTGCACCGTTTCACAAAAACACAGGTTTCTGAATTAATTGTCGATACGTGTTTTAACACACTTCCCAGAATCGGTCTCTATTAATCCTTCTGGCAGTGTATTCCGTAAATTTACGATTCTTCGTTCCATACAAAGCTGATATGATACCTTGTTCATGCACGAGAGCCTGACCTTGTAACGGTGTCCTCGTGTGTTACAGGGTTCCCGCAGGTGAATTATTTGCCGCTGTATGGGGAAGTGATTCATTTGTAGTATTCGAAGGATCACTTCTTACTCGGCGCTGGGATAGTGTGTAGATTCCGAACCTTTCAAAACGTTTTTCATACGGAATATTTCGTTGACTGAGTATAATTCTGGTTGCGATATCCCGTATTTTCCCAAGCTTTACAGTTCCACTGGGTTATCAGCTGGTAAGTTTGGGCGCAGTTGTCAAGGATTGGTCTAATATGCGAGGTGGATATTCGAGGGACGGTTTTTTCGGACTTTATGGATAAACTGCGTCTTAATGCCCAGACCATACGAAGTTCCGCACGGTACAATTTCTCTGTATTTTCTAGTGATCGCATATCACGTAGTGTGAGAACTCCCAAGTCTGACAAACGTATTGGGATGGAGCAACTGGCCGTCCAAGCTGTAGGACCGAGTTGCTGGACGTCTGGTGATACTGATGAACCGACTTGCTTGCGTTAAGAGGGAGATGGATTTCAGTGGACCACGTTGACAGTCGATCTAATTCATGCTAGAGGCGAGTGCAGTCGTGCTGTTTCTCAATGATCCTACAGATTTTCAAATCATCTGCAAACAGAGCACATGATGACTGAAGCTGCTACGGAAGATCGTTGATATGAATGAGAACTAATGCTGACCCAAGTACAATTTCTTGAGGCAGGCCACTGGTCGATGGGAACCAGTCTGTCAGGCAGTCACTGACCTGCACTCTAAAATTTTGTCCCACAATAAACTCGTGTAATCACTGAAGCAGCGTGTCACCGGTTCCGTAGGTCCTCAGCCTACGAAGAAGTACCTCCTGATTGACTCTGTCAAACGCCTTACTAAAGTCCATGTACACCACGTCAAGATCCTTCCGTTCGTTGACAGCTCGTACACACTGGTGGTTTGCGTACGTTAAGTTGGCTATGCAGGATCGCCCTTTCGTAAAGCCGTGTTACGCTGGCGTCAATAAGTCCATCGATTCGAAGAACGGCAGCAGACACTTTTTCACAACCTCCTCGAGAAGTTCACGTCACTCGGATCACCACCCTCGGGAAGCGGTCTCATTATCGAGCATTTCCATTCATTGGAAACAGATCCTTCAGGGGGTGGTTTTAAAGAATAGGTTTATCACGTGTGGTTTGATGACATTCGATAGAGACTTGAGTGTTAGTGGGTGAAGTCCGTCTGGTCCGGGGGGATTTGCACCATCGTGCTTGACGAGTAGCTGACACACTTCGACTGCATTATATTATAGGCTGTCGAACAAGACTGGCGCAACCTGTTCCGGTACTGGAATGACGCCGGTTTACTAAAAAATACGGTGGGGAATTGCTCAACCAAGGCACGCGCGCGCTCCGCGCTTGAAATGAGCGTCTGACCGTCCAAGCTCTCTAAGGCCGGTTGGTCGCCCCCAGATTTCAGTTGACGTTTCAAGTAGGCAATTATTATCTTGGGTGTAGTTGTGGCCGAGGATGCTAGAGCCTCTTCGCACTGCCGGCTTTTCTTGATGTTTGCGTCGTTACATAAGTTAGGCTGTTTCTTGTACACCGTGTAATCTTCTTCACAACCCGAGTTGATGTACCTAAAGTTTGCGACCCCGTATAAAAACCAATGCGGTTTGACAGGTCCGACTTTTGAATACTTCAGGGGAACGAACCGGGTACACAGAGAGTTAAGCTTCCCCTTCATTGATGACCAACAGATCTCAAGCGACGCATCCAGTGACAGTGTCCAATCAGTCTGATTTGCGGCTTGGAGGAGCAGGTTGAAGTCCGTCTTCCAATAGTGGAATGTCGACTTCCGTTGGTTGTAATACTGTAACAGCAGTTCTATGCTTGCCACAATGAAGCAGTGGTCCCAGTTCGCCAGAGGTTCGAGGACTCTGATCTCTTTCAGTTTCCGCTCACAGCTCGTAAACATTAGGTCCAGACAAGATGTCGAGTGCGGAGTTACGCGCGTCGGTTGGATGACATGTTGCGTTTCCCCGATTTCAATATCCATTTTAGCGAATTGAGCCTCGACGTCACCATGACCGGGACGACGCCGGACGTTTGGCCAGAATATATTAGGTAAATTTAGATCCACCATAAGTAAGAAATGAGGGCGTCTCATTTGCCTATGTATATGTGGTATACAGTCACAATACTGCACGAAGCCAAATGAAGCTGGACATGAGGGCAGTCAGTGCTACACCTCGCGTTATGGAAAATGCGTTGTCTGCACTGAGTAGTGAAGCTTTGGCCCACTTACCTAAACAATCATGCATTGCAGGAACGGTACTGAATCACCGAAAAAACGATCATTTGCCTTGTCCAACAAACACAAATTTTGCTATTCCTGAGCAGTACTCCGAACTGATTCCACATGATTCAGGTATGGATGATCCAGAAAGGGTTCTGGTGTTAGGTGATAAAGAACTTATACTCGAATTGTACACAAATACCATATACCGGGAAGGGCACTTTTGATAAAGTTCCCAACATGTTATATCTGCAGTATACGTGGCACGCCAAAGTGGACAAGGGTTATCCCACTTACCTTTACGTCCCGTTGCTGACCCAGACAAGAATGTTTTCAAAAATGAAACTACCGTTACCGGATACATGTCAACTGAGGTGTTAGTCGGTTTTGCGAAGAGCTCTATTAACACTGCGAGATTCTCATTTCCTGACACAGTAAGTAAAGGATACTAGTTCCACTTGCGCCAAGGTATCATCACAAAAGTCTACAAAGTCGGCGTAAAGAGTGCTCTTGAAATGGATGTCAAAATTCAACTACAGCTAAAGTCGCTTGCTGCCTTTTCCGTAGTCCCAGTCGCTGAAGTGAGGACTTTTGATGAGCTTACTATCACATTTCCAAATGAACAATCATATAATGCGGTGTTCAATTATTTCTTCACTACTTATACTGAAGGGGCAGCATGTCGAGAACCGCAGTACTCACTGCGAATGTGGAACCATCACGATACCACTCCTGATTGGTCACCGTAAACCACCGTAAACCTGCGGAGGAATTCACAATGCTTTGAATTCCTTATTCCACTGCAGTCATCCAAGCGTTATAGTATTTGTTTGATGGGATACAGAGCTACTTGTCATGCCATAGACTTACACTAGCCAATTCGTGTGCAGGTCGTTTTGAGGTGCGGAAGTAAATATTTGATGAGTTGAAAGCTGCCGTTGCTTCTTATGTTTGAGATTATGAATCAACGGGGGACCGGCTTAAATA